AAAGCACCGTGAAAAAACAAATACAGATTTTTTGTGAAAGGACTCGTGAGTTAGACGATTGCTGGATATTGCGTTTACATACACTCATAAATCTTTGTAATTAAAAACATTCATCGGAATTAAGAAAACTCGCTCTATTAACCCTAACAACAACCTTACACTCATGTTTTCTTGAAGAGAAAATGTCGAATGCTTTCAATATCTCGAGTGCAACACACAATGAGATCTGAACAAATGACGGCAGATAAACGTATATTCTATTCATTTTCTGATTTTATTATCATTTAGTGCTTTTACTTTAAAACCGGTTAATAATATCAAGCGATAAAACATGGAACGTACTACCTTTGATTTAACGCAAATTTCACGAAACTTCGTTGAGTACAACGCTCAAACAACTTTCCAAGCTAAAACTTTTAGGTTTTAAATATAAATCTTTTTGTCATTGTCTACTTTCCTGGAATTTTAATGAAAATTGAAACTATGTCATATTTAAAAATGCACTTTCCTCTACTCGACCAAAACAACTCAAGAAAAAGTTTGTCATTTCCCAGAAAATGTTGAAAGTGTCATAGAGGATTCATATAAAAAAATTAAAATCTTACTAATATCGCGATCGGCACAATTAGCTCTTACTCCTGACGTTATACCAAGTTCAAGCCCAAAAGCTTCTAATCGAACAGAGTCATACAAATCGCTTTTCTGGCACACGATTGTATGTATTATATCCTCTCTGCATGCGCCAACCTCAACAACCTTCGGAACACCAATAATAGACCTTAATCGTGGCCTGTTTGCGTAGATATAACTGGAAAGAACCTTAAATACGGATTTTACAAGTATTGGAGATCACATTGTAGAGGTGATACTAATATTTGTTCTCTCTGTACCATTAATCTACAGACATGGAGGAAAAATAATAATTTTAATTCATTAAATACTCTCTTTTCCCCCAGATTATACTTTCCTTTCATTTGCTATCATTTACATTTTAGATTTTTAAGTAATTTTTACGATTAAAACAAAATTACTTCAGAATCCTATTCGTGAATCCGCATAATTTTGTTGGAATAAAAGGCATTTGGTTACGTTTGGTTACTGGTACGTACTGTAGTTTGTTTAAAATAAAATGTTGGTTCAAGTTGTAATTTTATAGTGTCTTAGAGGAAATGTTACAAATGACTAGGATATACAGAGAAGTCGAGTATGCCAAGTTTTGGCCTATGAAGATGTGACGTGTAATTTCATATAACAAAGTTAGTTTGCCCCTTACTGTTAGGCAACTTCTCATGCAGTAATGTCCAGCGGGTTCATTAAATATCTTTGAAATGAGAGTGATTGTCTTAAATAATATATACTTCAGTGTTTCCAAGTTTTTTAGGCATTCAGTGGTAAACAGTTTTATTCAGATTAAAATGTATTTTCATATTCGTTTTGGAAGATAATGAAACCTATAAATTCGAGACGGTTGGTGTGCTTTACATCATGGGGTATACTTGCAATCAAAGATCGATTTATGCGTCTCTCTGTTACAATGATTCGCAACTCTTTACGGAATAATCTCAATTGTCTGAAAACCTAAACAATAAAGCCATTAGACGATTTCCATATTTTTGTAAGTTTTGAAAAGTGTGCTTTACCACCGTGTTACGTTGGAGGTCAAAAATCAACTGTAAGTCTAGGCATGAAGTTTATGGTTAGTTACTTCTCAAGAACATCAAAAAGGAGGGCGCAGACGTCCAAATATTCGTGGAGCTCCTGTTCCGCGATAATATGTATTGGAGTGTTCCCGCTCTCGGTGATTCGGAAGATCTCAGCAGCGGCAGCCAGAGCCTTATTAGTGAGTGAGTGAGTTAGTTAGTTAATGCATTACTTTAAGTGGCGGGACTCGGGCCATCCAACTCGCACTTTCATCTGATCACGAAAATTTTGCTTCAGCGTCTAGTGGGGAAAGGAGGTGTTTCGGGCGAAGAAACAGGCGATTTTGAATTTATCTCAGAGGCTTCTTTTAGGCTTGATGTCCTTTTACATGCAGTAAATTAATTATATGGTCTACCGTATCTGCTGTAAGGTCTAAATCTACTACAACCGGTTCTCTCCAAAGATCAGAATGTGAGTCATTGAAGTTTACAATCCGAAATTTTGAATATGAAGGACATTTTTTACATATTTCTCCACAAGAGCTATCACTCCTACGTAGACAACTTAGTTATATTTGAACGATTGATACTGGAGTGAGGTCTTCTTTAGCCTAATCAAATTTCGGCACCTCCCGTTGAAAAGGTTTTTGAAAATTTAAGAGTGGGAGCTGGTTCCTCCAAAATAAAAATGTCAAGTTACGAGCGTGTGCCAAATAAAAAAATGATCGCAGCTATGTGAGAGCAGCATTCTAAAGAATCTTCGAACGTTCACAATATTATGGTATCACTCCCGATAGGCGAGTTATCCATGGTTACACTTTCCATGGTGGAATGAGAAGTGTTTAGAAACATTTTGAAAGTGGCAATTTTCCGAGGTGACCAATCCAAAATAACACAATGAATGTGAAGTTGAAATAAAAATGCAATATTTAAAAAAGTGCTTACGTGTTTCTGTTTCAATGACTTGTAACTGTGATAATTTTGGTATTCAAATTTCCCGTTAAAAATATGTCCCAAAGTCCTGAAGTCTGAACTGGTGGCTGAAGTCGAATTCGATGCGCAAGAGCCCATTCATATCTTTCCACCAAAGATATTTTCTTGAAAGATTTTAAGTGTCTTCTGGTACTTACTTATATTCCGATTGAGTGATTTTTCACCCCATTATTCAGCTAAGTCCTTTCTACAAAGATTAGAGAGAATTGCCGTTGTAAATATGGCATTGGTTCTATTTTCACTGTTAACTCTGAATTTTCGAAAATGACAGTATGTTGCATTTTTTGGACCTTCTTACAATTACTCTACCATAGAAAAAATATTTTATCAAATGAAATTATCCCACCATTAGTTGTTTAATGAATGTCAAGTACAATTTATTTAAATATTAGTAGTTTTCGATAATTAAAAATTAGTAAACTTTTTGTAAGGTGTTTAATACAAGGAATAACGAAACATAAACGCCACTTTGATTTTTTTCAAAAAGTACAAAAAGCGTTTTTTAAAATCTCTCTCACATTCATTATATTTACATTACGCGCGATGTTTTATACAGAATTTAAATTTTGTAGATTTTTTTAGAATCCCAGAAATGTTCGATTTTTTTCAAAAGCGGAAGCAAATTTTTCAATGAAAATGAACAAATAGAACCAGAATGTACTCTTCTACAATATTCAAGTCACATTTCAATTCTAACATTAAGGGACGGAAAAATGGGGAAAATGTTCAAAAAATACTTTGTAGGAGCGGAAGATAGCAAACTGGGGAAATGATGGAGCAATGACGAGAAGCTATCCCAGACTAAAGAAACAAGTTGTCTAAAAGCTCACACATACTTAAGCATCATTAGTTAATTGAGTTCACAATTTAAATTTCTGAAAATTATTGACTCAATGATTCTGAAAATTGCCGGGCATTGGTGATTGGCAGCAACGTTCTCAAAGTAATTTCGTAGACCCGCCAAACACCCATGTATGGTGGGTTACTTAATTATCAGAAAGAAATGTTTTATGTGCACCATCATTATTTCCCACCGCATGATCATTGACAACTAGTGGTGCTGAAACAACACATACTTTCCTGAATTATTTCTAAATTTTCTTTTTTATTCAGAGCTCAACGAAAATTATACCTGCGCCATTCTTTTAAGCGTCCTTGTTTTATCCGTGGAAAAAATAAAGAAAAAATTGAAGCTGTTTTGAGAAAACGTCTTTTTTATCAATTGCATTTTTTTAATTTCAAGAAGAAAACTACTCGTTTTTTAGAAAAATGTAAATAGCCTTTTTTAAAGATCTTATTTTTAGACAGATTTCGATTAAGGCAAAAATCTCTATCTTCAACATTGTAGTTTTGAAATGTTCAATTTTTGCACTTTTCTAAAATACAGTGTTATTCCCGGAAATAAGATTAGCGCCAATTGTTTTATCGTCCTCTGATACATAGTAAGAGAAATTTCACTGAAACAAATTTGAACCGTTTTTGAGAAATTAATTGTTAAAAAATAAAACTGCCTTATTTTACAAAATGTTGCGCGAAAATTACTCAATTTTCGAAAAATTGTGGATGATCTTGTGTCAAGATCTATCTTTAACGAACAGATTTCATTGTAGAAAAATCTGTATATTCTGAGTTGTAGAGACAGGAAGACACTGAAAAAAATTGAACTTTTACAATTTTCTAAAAATTACAAATTTTACGAAAATGAGACCCACACCATTCTCTTAAGTCTTTCAGTCATTCTCTTAAGTCCTTTACACTACCTGATGACAAAATTTAATAAAAATATTTGGAGGAATATTCGAGAACATTTTTAAAATGATGTCAAGATTTATGTATAAATCTCAAAAATCAGAACATTCTTTTCAAACTCAGATGGCCTCGAGTTCCTTTGAATTTCGCATTAGTTTTGACCACAGCAAAACAGACACGGAAAGATGGACGGACGGACGGACAGACAGACAAACATGGACGTCAATCGATTCCTCTGTTTCAAGGCCCCATAAAAGATGGATTCTGACTACACCACGTGTTAGAGGAAGTATTTTACTACACCTGTATATCGGAACGAGATTTATCCACTTTTTCGTTACCTGGTCCCGGCAATAAGTTTCTCTGTCGGAAATTCGCGATTTCCTGAGCACAATTACAATACTTTCTCTTCTTACGAAGTAAGAACCAGAAAGTAAAACGCGACTATTCTGCCCACCCCGCTCCTTTACATCTCAGCTAAGCGCCACGCCGATGTCGTTTCGAGTTGTTACCTGTGGCGAGGATCTGCAAGAAAAAGGACAGGAGCAGCGCGCGGGGCCCCGGCCGCAGCATGGCTACCCGCGTCGGAGGCGACCGCCCACTCACTCACTCGCTCCCTCGCCCGCCGCTGCGCTGGCTGCTGGCCGCCTTGGCGCAGCCTGGTACGCGCTCGCGTATCGCCGCCGCAGGCCTGGGTTGCATCTGCGCCGACAATATCGCTGTGTCGGTTTGGCCATCGTATTATTTACACAGCGATATTTTGGACAAAGCATCGACCCGCGAAGACCGCTTATAATTACCCGCAACCGCAGTATATTCGTTCGTCATGTTGTAAATGTTCGTCGTCAGCTGACTACGGTTTCTTTTCTTCTTCGGTATCTATTTTACACTCTCGTGTACGTATTACATACAAAGTGTTAAACTGATGCGGACTTTCTAGGAATGAATTTTCATTGAAGGTTGGGTTTTCTTTGATCACTGTTAGGGAAATATGCCTATCTGCTTTTTTTCGATGTTGCCAGTGATGACTACTTTTTAAACGTTATACAAAATTTCCTGTTTTTACTTTTTTCTAGGTTCTACAAATAATAAACACTTACTTATCCCTATGAACTAACGAAAGAGAATTTAGTCTATTGTAATGTGAAGTAGAGGACTCGGTCTGTTTAATTTGTGAGTTTTTCGACAGAATTTGAGTGAAATAAAAGTTATGTAATGCTGTGAAAAATCTATTTCGACATTTGAACGGAAATACACGTTTTGAGACCCTCGGATGGTGAAAAAGTGTATTTCGTAGGATTGTTTTCCAAAATTCTCCAGTCGACCTAAACCTTCTCAAAACTCTGAGAGTTTGAAAAACATTATTTAACGTTTTGTGGAAATTTTTCTGACGTCCCTAGGACACTTTCAAAAATTTCTCAAAAATAGCTACAAATTTATTTTTCTTAATAGAGTGAAAATTTCACTAATTTAATACACTTCTAAAGATGGCATAGGTCCGATTTTCACTGCATATTACCTGAGCCTGAACTATTACGTGTGTTAGTTTTAAAAGTTATACTTTTTCTCAAAAAAAATCACATTCTTCACTGAACACACTCCATACGATTAAAAAACCTATTATTTTAAATCGTTAGGAGAAACCGCACATCACATCTCTTAATCACTCTGCTCTAAAATTTACGCCAGGTACACTTAGCTACACGAAACATCACCACAACCCACAGCATTGCTTTTCTATGCTGATCTTCATCTATACTTCTTGAACACGACTCACATAGTTCGTAAGCACAACACAATATATCATTTGAACACTCGGCTCTAACAGTTACATACACTGAACTGAATTAAATCACACATCGAAACAAAGAAAACTACATTTTCTTCTACAAGTCAAGTTATACTAGTATAGTAAGTAGTCTTCTACAAGTACTACATTTTGTTATGTAAAGCTGCGCGAAAAAACGGCGGATTTTCGGCAGAAAAAAAATCATTGTCGGGCCGTGATAACGAAAAAGTCGATAAATCCAGTTTGCTAAATGAAGAAAAAGATCTTCGAACGAGTGGTATAGCCATAATCCCTGTTTTATGGGTCCTTGATACCGAAAAAACAATTGACGGTAAAACGTTCGTCAATCTGTGAACACCACTAGCGCCAAACACCATACGTACAATTTTTTCCAAAATGGATATTCTCAGGTCGATCTGCCTCCACTCCAGGCGCCGCGATTTTGAAAAACTTCCTTAAAAATTTGGGGGTACGTTACATGAAACCAGCCACACATTTTCAAAATTTCTTCAATAACGGCCCCAAATGTTTTCTTTAATTTTTTTATAAGAATAGAGTAAAATACACTTATAAAGGTGGTATAGGTCCAATTTTCACTGTTAACTCTAATTATTCGAAAATGTAAAAAAATTTGAATTTTTTCGGCGTCTTCCTACAACTTCAAAATTTAAGATAGAGATTTTCCTTAAAATAAAATGTGTTCTCAGTAGTGTGTTTTTTCATTAATGTGGTGTACATTTTTTAACTTTTAGTAATTTTCACGCAATATTGCGAGCAATAGTGTAAAATCACAAAAAGAAGATTTTCTCAAACACGGCTCCGGATTTTTTCTTTAAAAGTTTGGTAGGGATAGACCGGTTAAGTACTCCAGTAGTTAAATGATGATAATACAAAAAGGGGCAAATATGTTTAGTTTCAATTTCGCGAACTGATAGAGAACAGTTGGGGCTTTCAGAGAAGCTAAAATTCGAAGGTATTAAAGCAGTACAAAAGTTATAGACCTAAATACGAGAGATTCATGGAAAAGGTTACGGTACTCACGCCTTGCTCGTCAAAATATATAGAAAAAGTAGACTTGTTAGATATTTAATTCACCTTCAGATGTATTCAATTCTCATTCCGAATACAGTCAAATCCACGAAAAAACGTTAAAAAATACAGTTGTTACTAACGGAAACTTGCTTTACATTCCCGCGAATTTTTCGACATTCAGATACCGCTAACTTCATCGTCGAATATGAGAAGGAAATAAAGTTGGAATTTCTCTGTCACGCTGGAACATCTGTACCCGATTTGATGGGTTTTACCTCTAAGCGCGAAGTTCGATTTCTTTAATTATGGTCATATTTTTGGCCAGTTGGAACCAGTGTGCGGCGGAAGGATTTTCGGCACTAGCAACATATCTAGGTCGAGTTCAGTCGTTCTAGCAACATATCTAGGTCGAGTTTCGTCTGGGGGGTTAATTCTAGCGACTGGCTGCTCTAATCGGTGGGTTTCCGTCGTTTCTCCGATCAACACCAGGCAAATGCTGGAACAGTACTCTAGCAAACGACGCACTGCGCGCGATCTTTCCTTCCTCTCCCTTGCCCTATCTTTACCCCTTAATTACACACACATACATATGCATCATACTACCACAAATGCCGGGAGACCGCTCAGAAGCCTAGAGCTTGTCCTGGCTGGAGCGGTACCTCGTTGGTGGGAGATACCAGGTTGGGGAAATTCCTTGAAAACCAATAAGTAGGTCGCCATCCCGTAGGGAAATATCACAACTCTCGCGATAAAAAAAATGCACTATAATTGGCGAACTAATGAGCTTAGCAATTGTCGCATCCGGAATCCTAATCAATCAACACATTTATGGTAATAAAGTATTTTATTATAGGCAACTACATGGCCCCTTGCCTTCCCTCTGCGTACACAACTATGGTAATATTTTTAAACTTCAATTATAAGAATACATATATTTATGTATCTAAAATATAAGGTTTGTATACTGTTATTAAAGCGAAAATGAGACCTGCGCCATTATTGTAAGCGTTCCTTGTTCTACCCCCCACAAAACATTTCGTGTTTTTTTTTATTTTTTTATTTTTTTTATTTTTTAAATGCATTGATTTCTAGAATTAATTATACACATTTTATTTCAAAAAATTTCACATGACCTACTTTTAAAATGAGGATTTTTAGAACAGATATTGTGTAAGCACAAATCTCCATCTTCAATTTTGTAAGTTTGAAATGTCATATTTTCGAAAAATTGTTCATTATGTTATTTCAAGATTTGTCTTTGTACAACATCTTTAATTAAGGATAAAATCTTTGTCTTCAATATTTCACTTGTAGTAAGACGTCAAAAAAATTGAACTGTTGCTATTTTCGGAAACTTATTGAATTCAATCATAAATGAAGATACAGATTTTTCTCTTAAACAAAATCTGTTCTTTAAAACAGGTTATTTACAATTTTTTTAAAATCACTAATTTTGCATAATTTTGTGCTGTAAATGTGTGCAATTTCCAAAAAAAAATATTTTCTCAAAAACCGCTCGAATTTTTACTTTCCCGTTTACGTATTTACGAAGTAATACAAGTAAGGGAAAGTTATGAAATGCTGCGGAAAATCGATTTCGAAATGTTTACGAAAATACGCGTTTTGGGGTCACCAGATACCGAAAAAGTGGGTTGTTTCAAAACGTCCGCCTGTCCGGCCGCCTGTCCGGCCGCCTGTCCGACCGTCTGTCCGACCGTCTGTCCGACCGTCTGTCCGGCCGTCTGTCCGACCGTCTATCTGGTGTCTGTGAACACTGCTAGCGTCTTAACCATATGTAGACTTTTTTTTTCAAATTGAAGAAACCCTTGTCCATTTGGCTCGAGTCGAAACTTCGAGATTTTGAAAAACATTCTTCACAACTTGGGGTACTTTACATGAAGCACTCCGGACATTTTCAAAATTTTCGCAAAATCGGCTCCAAATATTTTCATCAATTTTTTTGTAAGAATAAAGTAACATACACTTATAAACGTGAATTAGGTCCGATTTTCACGGTTAACTCTGAATTTTCGAAAATGTTAATAGTCATAATTTTTCAGTGTCTTCCTACAACTACGAAATTAAAAATAGAAATTTTTTCTTTAAATAAAATTTGTTCTCCATAGTGAATTCTTTCATTAAGGTGATGTTTTTGAAAAGTTTAGTACTAGCGCAATATTGCGTAGAATATGTGCAATTTAAAAAAATTATAAAAACAAGATTTTCTAAAATACAGCTCCAAATATTTTCTTTCAGCTTTTGGTAGGGATAGTGCTAAATGCACTCTCTAAGATGACATAAACGCCACATAGCTGAATTCTTTTATTTTTTCCAAAATGACAAAAATTTATTTTTTTCTAAAATTTTGCGCCTCGTATGTATCAAAGTACGGTCAAAAATATGGAACTAGTTCTGTTTTTGGTGAACTCTCCATAAAATCTAAAATTGAAAAGTTAACATTTAAAACATCAAAATCGAAGGTATCTATAGGTTTTTTGTCCTTACACAAAACTGCTCTAAAAAAGTTCGTTAAAAAACCAATATACAATTTTGTGAAGAAAAAAAACCTATAGTTTTCACGTAATTTCTGGTTGAAATTAACGCAAATTAAAAAATATAGTTTTCTCAAAAACGGCTCAAATTTTTTCCCTATCAATTGTTTCTTTGTATGTTTCAAACACGGTAAAAATATAGTGATAGTGCCTTTTTTGCCAAACTCTCCATATTTTCGAAAATTACAAATAATTAAAATTTCAGAACTACAAAATTGAAAATTGCCTTCTTGTCTTAAACAATATCTGTTGTAAAAAAGCAGCTCTTTATAAAAGGTCATGTACAATTTTCTATACATTTAAGATGTCCAAAATTTCGACAAAACGAGTAATTTTCACTACTTTTTCTTGTTTAAATTAATTCAAATTATAAAAATAACATTTTTCAAAATCTACCCCAACTTTTTTCTTTAAATGTTTTCCATGTATAAAACGAAGGACGCTTAGAAGAATGGCGGATGCCACATTTACGTGTTGGAATTGTTGGGTTGGGTCCAGGAGAGGATCCAGTCGA